AAACCCTAAACCCTGAAGGGTTCCTTAAACTGGGTCCTATTATAGGAACTCAAACAGGCTTCCTGCCTTAAAGGCTTCCTCTTCAAAGGGTTCCGAAAACGGGTTCCTACTAAAACTAGAAGAGGGCTCCTGAGAGAGATTCCTCCTCTAATTTTGCATAGGCTTCCTTGAAAAGGGGATTATAAGGCATGTAGAAGGGTTCGATGAAATGGAGGCCCTTCATATTTAGGTAAGGGTTGTTGTATGATTAACAGGACGTTTTTTGAGCTGTCCCGTAGGCTTGTCTATGACTGATTGGCTGTTTTTAGAGTTTGTGTTCGGGCTTTATATAGGTACCTCGATGATTCCAAAAGATCGGGATAGGGGCTTTGAGGCTGGGTCGGGGACAGAGGCTACTCACTTGCTGGAGTTTAGGATGTGTGGTTTGGTTTTCTTTGCTTGCGTACGTCGTCATGGCTGCATGTGGGCATCGGTCAGAAGCTTCAGACGATGCTGGGCGACCGGCACTCAAACTTGCAGCATGTTCTTTCAACCATCAAACTCTAGAAGCAAGCATGAGGCTAAAGCCTGTGGCCTGCCTCGACAGACAGACAGACGGAGAGACAGACAGACAGACTGACAGACTGAGAGACAGAGAGGCCGCTGATTTCTCAAGCTTCGTAGTTGTGCCGAAATACATCCAAAAGGACCTGAGAGTTAAGGCCCTTATAGTACGAATGGAGAAGAAAGCTTAAACCCTAAACCCTTTTGGTACACAAGGAGATAAAAGGTTTGGTTGAGGCATCAGTGGTAGGTAGGAGGCGACTTGGTGATGAACTTCTTGAGCTTGCCTTGGAGGCCGATCGACCGAGCGCCGGCCAAATCCTCCAGGGTTTAGGGTTTGGGGTCTAGGCTTTAGGGTTTTGGGTTTTGGGTTTTGGGTTTGGGTTTGAGGTTTAAGGTTTAAGGCGTATGCTTTACGATGCACGGCTTAAGCTTTGGGGTTCAAGGCCTCGACTTGCTGCTTGGCTTTTGGATTAGGGTGTGGAGTTTGGGGTTTAAGGTTGGGTCCGGGGTTTAAGGTTTAGGCGTTTAGGGCTTTAGGGCTTTAGGGTTCCGGGCTTAGGGGATTAGGGATCCAGAAGCCATATAGATCCTACGCCATGTCTGTTGCGGACAGGATCGTTCTGATGTCTGCCACGATCAATGCGCAGATCTTCAAGGACTTTGCTGGAGCTTCTTGAGATCACGGGCTTAGGGTTCGAACCCGTTAACCCCAGAGCCCTAAACCCAATTATAAGGGTCCATGTGCCGAAATTGTATATACTCTGGCCTTAAAGTAGCCTGCGGGCAGGAACTCCGCGGCAAGCGGGTTACCTGCAGTGCGTGGGGGGTTCGTGGTGTTTACGAACGCTTAACTCCCAGCATACGCGGATATCTGCATATGCACAATGCCAGCGGGCGCAAGCGTCTGCACCAAATTCAGGGAAGCGTGGGCATACTAATTCGTGTGTGGGTTCCCCGATAAGGGCGCTCTTGCTCAGCAAGCTCAGCACTCCAAGTGCAGGTATCGCATTTCAGAAATCACCCCCGGCTCTCAGATCCTCTACGCCGCTTCGACAGCGATATGGCAAACCTGGAGAATCCTAAACTCTAAACTCGAGAACCCCTAAACCCTAAACCCAAAATCCTAAACCCTAAACCCTAAACCCTAAATGCTAAGACCCTGGAGCCTGCCAGGACTACTTTCCGGGCTCACAGTCCATCAGCATCCCAGGAAGGACTTTTCCGGTGACCTCCTACTACCTGGAGCATGCTTTGCTGCCCGGCAAAGCGGAGGGTAAAGATTGTTGTGTGATTATTGGTTGTTATTATGATTATACTATTACTGTCTATTGTCGTAGTATTATGGTTGTTCTTATGTGTAATATTATGTGTGTATATATATATATATGTAGACATACAAATAGACATATGTTAGAGGGCTCAAGGGTCGGGTCTGGTGAGTGTGGGGACTTCTTCGCTTACCTGGCCTCTCATGACGAGCAACAAGTCAAAAAGACAGAATCTGCGAGACAAATGCAATGCCTTCTCAACCCCCAAGCCCTGAGCGCAAAGCCACGCAAACCGGAATGCCGTCATCGTCTTGCACAGTCATCGTCCTCCTTCCAACCTCGCATCATTTTTTGGGGTCGGGGCTGTGAACCCTACCCATAGGCCCCATAGTAGTTCCTTTTGGGGACTCCCTAATAGGGTCCTAAATACAAGCCACAAAAAGGAACGACTATGGGGCCTATGGGTAAACCCTAAACCCTTACCGCTCCGCCAAGGCTGCACACCAACTTCGTGATTGAGCCAGGCTCCGAGTTCTGCCGCAAGGACCCCCCCGCCCTCCACTTTCTGCGAATTTAGGCTTTAGGGCTTTTATTTAGGGTTTAGGCGGTTTAGGGCTTCGGGTTTAGGGTTTAGGGCTTCGGGTTTATTTAGGGTGTAGGGCTTCGGATTTAGGGTTTAGGGCTTCGGGTTAATTTAGGGTTTAGGGCTTCGGATCTAGGGTTTAGGGCTTCGGGTTTTTAGGGTTTAGGGCTTCTTGTTTTTGTTTAGGGTTTAGGGCTTCGGGTTATTTTAGGGTTTAGGGCTTCGGGTTTTTTTAGGGTTTAGGGCTTAGGATTTAGGGCTTCGGGTTGAGGGTGTACGGTTCAGGGTTGAGGGTTTATGAAAGTTTTGCTTAATAACATTAAGAAAGTTTTGCTAAAGAAGCGAACTGAATCACACAGCGGAAAGAGAAGCATGCTTTTTGTGTTACATATCCCAATCATGGTGGCTTACAATCTCGTGCCAGACCCGGGGCCCTGTTTCAGCCTGCTCAAGTCCAAGCCGGATGCCCTTAGCCGTGGTTCGCAGAGGTTTATGTAGAAGCCTGAATGACGATTTATGGTGGTTTTAAGGGTTCGTTCTTATAAATGTAGTACAAAAGACGGTTTATGGTGTTTTGAGGGTTTCCTTCACTATAAACGTAGCAAAATCTCTGATCCAAAACCCTCTTCTAATGATCCTTACCTTGAAGTCACGAAGCCTTACGGTTAACAGAGAAGCCGAAATAATTACCTATACTGTTTTGGGTGCTCCTTCTTATACTTGTAGTATAATGGGCCCCAAAACCCTAGTCTAATTATTAAGGCCCCTAACCCTTATCGTAGCCCTTATAGAACCTTTTCAGGAACCCTTTAAAGGAACCTCAAAACCCTATTTTATTAAGGCCCCTACATTAAGCACCGTCAGGCCGGCGGATTCCTAGGGGTTTGGGCCGTAATGCTCTAGGCTTGGGTTTGGGGGTTGGGCTTTCGGTGGGTCCGCTCCGTAGGTTTGCCGAAGCCTTGGGGTTTAGGGTTTAGGGGTTTAGGGGTTTCGGGTTTAGGGGCTTAGGGGTTTAAGGGTTTAAGGGTTTAGGGGTTTAGGGGTAAGGGTTTAGAGTTTAGGGTAAGGCCGCGAGCCTCAAGCTATGTGGCCCTTTTGAACCGGGCAAAGCTACTGCAGCCTCGCTAAAAATAATGCATGATCATGCCCTACTAAACGGCCATGCATGCTTGGTGGGCTTCGTGGGGCCCTCACGAACCCCCAAAATCGTGCTTTCTTTTCCCATAGACGAACGACCTCCACAGCCCTTCCACAATCGACCCGGTAGTCCAGGGCTGTCATATTTGGCATGGTTAATAGGTCTTGAGCAGCTTGCTATAGGTCCTTTGTTTCAGCAGTAGTCTTGGGGCACTTGACAGGACGTTGAGCCTCAAATGGACTACCACGAAGAGGAGGAGCTGAGGCTACTCAGGGTGTATCCCTTTTGGAGTAACAGCCCTGTTAAAGGAAACTACAGGTGGGGAGTTTAGGGTATATAAGGCTTCTATAAGGTTTGTAGACCTTCTATAAGGCTCCTATACAGGTAACTACCCACCAGAAAATGTCCTAGAACCCGAGCAGTTTAGTCAGGAAGTAGGGTTTACATTCGGGTCCCGCTTGTTCTCCAACATCGCTGATATTTGAGACCATCAAACCCTAACGGATTTACCTTGAGAAGTTCTTCCAAAGTTGAGCATAGTGCTGGGGCTTCCTGTCGCAAAAGTAAGGTATCCTGAAACAAAGCCCATGTCTACATGTATTACAACCCCCAGTCGCACTTCTTGCTAACATGAAACCTATTTTTAAGAACGTATGAAAGATACAAACATAACATAACCTAGCATAGTTATAGTTATAGTGGGGCTCTAAGTTGTAAAAATAGACCGCACCCGTAAAGTCTAAGAAGACGCAGAGGATGCGTTGAACCCTAAACGCCAAACCCTAAAGCCTAAACCCTAAACCCTAAACCCTAAACCCCTAAACCCCTAAACCCCTAAACCCTAAACCAGGCAAGCATACGAGAAGCCGGAGAATGCCGACCTTGTTGGAACAAAGCTTCCTCGGCACGTGCTACAGCAGCTGGTTGGCTGCATTTAGGATTTAGGGTTTAGGATTTAGGGTTGGCTGCAATTTTGGGGCGCCAGCACTAATCACTAATTGGAACTTGTTTTGGGGGGGTACATTATACTTAGCCATAGTCTGTTTATACATGGAGACGACAAGGGCAGTCGATTACGATCCTTTCGTGGATGCCCCACCTAAAGGGCTAAACCTTACACCCTGAACCCAAACCCTCAGACCCTAGACCCCCAACCCCACAGCCCTAGACAACAAGCCCTCAACCGGTGCCAGTCGGAAAGGAGGCGCTTAACAAAACCCAAACCTAAGCCCGAAACCCTCCCTAAACCAGAAACCCTAAACCCTCAACCCTCAACCCTCAACCCTCAACCCTCAACCCTCAACCCTCATCCCTATCCCGGAGAATCCCAGCCCGGAAGCCTCAAACCCTTCTGCCTTGACCCAAGCCCCAGAAGTTGCGAAAGCCCGAACCCGAAAGACCTTATTCTTTAAGATCTCGAGTAATAACAATAACAATACTAAAAAGAACGACCATATTCTTAATGATAGTAATAATTTTGATAGTTAGAATACTCAATAGTAGGAGTAAGAATAGTTATTCTAAGACAAACCCCTTCCAAGGCTCCACCGAGTCGATCCAGAGAAAATCAACTTCGAGCTCGTGGCTCAGGTTGTGCGCCACATCCACACCCAGGCGGCCGCTTGTGTTTGCTTGTTGTTGCTGGGCAGTTACTTAAACCGGAGTCCCTTTAGTGTGGGCTCGAAGAATTGGGATAAATATAGGGGCCTTAATACTTAGAATATATATATATATATATATTTTTTTTTTTTGGGGGGGGGGGGACGGTTCTTTTTTGTTAGAATTACAGTAAAATAGACCCCAAAGCCCTTTTCTACTCATTAAGGCCCCCCTGTATTAGGGCTATGCGGCCTCTGTCTGGGTGATCAGGAGTCCGGCCTCAGGCTTTTTAGGGTTTAGAGTTTAGGGTTTAGGGTTTCGGGTTTAGGGTTTAGGGTTTGAGGTTGAGAGTATGTGGCCGTTGCTGTTTTGAGGTCTGAA